CACAGGGTGTGGGTAAAATCCTCTGCGGGAACGCATTAAGCAGACCAACGTCAAAATACAGTAACAGAGAAGCAATCACAACAGACGGGGTAGCCAAGTGCCTTCTGCATTGTTCTTTTCTCCCATCAAACTTCCGTTAGGCCCCAAGTGTTTGTTCATTTCAGTGAGCATGAAATGAACTCATTTCAGTGAGTTTGTTTCAGAGCTGCTTGCTGGCTGGCTAAGAGGGAGATTTCAGGAGAGGAAAGGGCCAGGCTTACCCTGTACTGGACAAGATCCTCGCTCTTGGGCCCCTGGAGACGGCAGTGCACTTGGCCGTCTTCCTGTGTTCTGTCAGGTATCCATTCACTGCGTGTGGAGACATGTTCCATGCATTTTGTATATAATTAAGTCATTTAATTCCCACAGCAACCTTTAAGGTACTATGATTATCTCCATTTTACATCTGAAGAAATGGAAATTACAGACAATCTAAGTACCTTGCCCAAGGTCACACGGCCTTTCAGTAATAAACCCAGGATTAAAACCCAAGGCGCCCAGCCATGGCAATCAGGCTGATATCGACCACCAGGCTGTGCTGCCTCTCACTATGGTGGCTATGAGCTGGAAGGCTGGGGCATGCTCTAATCAGAGCAATAATAAGCCACTGTGCAGAGTGAGGCCGTGTATTCACATGGCAGAAAGAGAACAGGATTAAGATCAGAAGACCAGTGTTGATCTTAACTTTGATCCTAACTAGTTTTGTATCTTGGAGCATCAGTTAACTCCATTGAAGCTTAGCTTCATCATATTTAACTTGAGGTTAACAATATCGACCTCGCGAGTCTCGTGAACATCAGATAGACCATATAGCAGTATCTAGAACAGCTCCTGACACTAACTAAATACTCTGCAAATATAATGTGAGTGAAAGATATGTGAGAGATGCTTCATGGATACAGTTTGATTGGCCTCGAAGAGTACATAAAGTATACAAGCAAGGACAAAATAAAAATCAAACGCATGGAGAAGGTTCAGTAAATGAATTCAGGGGTATGTGTGTGTGGCAGGGGGTATATGAGTATAATAGTATAATAGCTATCATTTATGGAACAACTGTCACTTACTGGGGTCTTACCACGTCTCACCACTGTACTATGGGTCATATACCATCAATAACCACGAATCAGGCAATTGTGTTATGGACTTGGGGTTCCACCATTACATGCATCTTACAGATGCTTGACCATGGACTGTTCTGAGACATGGTGGTTGAATACAGCCTCTCTGCAGGTGTCTGCAAAACCTAGCAGTAGGCTGTGCGTCCTGCAAGGATGTGGCCAGCTTGGAATGCACGGCTCTTATTTGCTCTCCCTCCTCATGCAACTTCCCAGGCCTCTTACATTCACTGGCCTGAATCACACTCCTCAATAAAACATTAATCCCATAGCTTTTGCCTCACGCTCTGCTTTTGGGGAAACCTGGGCTGAGACAGATAAAAAAAATTTTTTATTTTTTTTGGTAAAAGAAAATACATTGAAGTAGAGATGCATAGGAACAAGATCTAGATTTACATATGCAAAATGTTAGCTGGATTGTCTCTGTTCATACTTGCCTATATTTTCCATTTTTAAAATTTTAAGTCAGTAAAATGGTTATTTTAATAAACTATTTAAACATACACATTTCTTTCATCCAAAATTAACAGACATAATGTGTAGTCATAGGCTGAAAAGCCATAGTGAGAATAAAAAGAATTGTTTTCAACAGTTATTCCATAGGTGTGAATTCAGGAGTAGGTTTGGATGTTTTCATAACCTATTATTATATTCTCTCATCATTTTAGTTTTATTTTATTTAGGATTAAGGAAATAATAAATGTTGGTTTTCATATGTTGGAACAATAATCAGTTGGAATATACAAAAAATGTAGTAAATGCATTGAGCATACTAAATACATTTCAATTACTCTATAACTTCCTTAGGTTTTAAAGACAATCACATTACTTACCATGCTCTGGAATCTCAAAAACTTGTCCAACAATGTCTTATTCTGAGGCTTATTTCAAACTGAAATCCATTCAGAGAGCCTTGAGAAGTCTCTCTTGGCAAAAGTTGCATGTATAGTCTCCATAGTGAGTCCTCAAGTCAACAGCATCCCTGTCACTGTTTATTCCCTGGGGACCAATATGAATGAAGCAAACAAAAGCTGCCTTGGCTTTTGCACGCTTTAGAAAAGAGGTTAAATGTGACTTTCACTTCCCTACGGTGGTCTAATTTGTAGTGAGAGTCTGACGTGAAGAGTGGGAAGGGGCTCTGGGAAATCTTCCTCCTCAAATGGCCTGTTTCATAGGAGAAGACACAGACCCAGAGGCGATGACCATTCTCTAGGGTACCCACGCTCTGACTGGATAACCGTTGTTAAGCAAGTGGTCAGTATCTACATTTCAAAACATCAGAAGAAACAAAGTCAGCTATTCACACAGCTCACCCATTTGATATGTGAGAACCTCACTAGAGAAGAACTGAACTATTTTTGGAGAGGATTAAATCCATTATGCCAAAGTCTTCTAGAATGATATTTTAACTTTTGCTTTTCCTAGTTTTGTTGGGGGTAGAATAAGCAGGGTTAATGCCTAATTATGTAATTATTTCTATGCATGTAGTTACGTAGTAATTTCTTTACCTATGTTCCCTCCAACCTTACCCCAACAATTTGAAAAGAAAAAAAGGTATCCTAGCCACAGTTATTCCATCTTTCTACAGGGCTAAGCCCAGAGTTTTCTTATAGCCCTCAGCCTGGTCCATGGAGTTGGACTAACTGGATTTGAATTCTGGTTCTGCCGTTGACTAGATACTTGAACCTGGGCAAGTGACTTGATCTTGCATAACTAACTTGACCTCTCATTGTCTTCCTTTCCTCATCTGTAAAATAGAGATAATTTTAATACCCATCCTGCATGTAAAGTACAATGCCTTTCACATCGTAAACATTCGATAAACGTTGACTATTGATAAGTGCTCAAAAAAAGTATTTATTGGAAAAAACTGTATTAAGGGGAAAGAGAGAGAATTGCCACAAAGAAGAAAGCTGCTGATTCTTGCTCAAACCATCCCAGCTCCCGCTATTCCCCACCTTTCAAGAACTCTAACATCATTCGTCACGCTCATGTAAGGAAAGAGGACAGAGGAAGCACAGCTAACTTCTTTGTTTGAACAGCAGAATTCCATTGTCATATGAAATTTACATGTGTAAGGCATAGTCTGCTCCAAAAACTTAGGATACGAGTTTAGCTAGGATACAAGTTTTCTCCTCTGATTAATAGCTAGAACACTCAAGTATCCCATAAAGAAAAAAAGTCCCAAGTGTTGACCTTTGTCCAAGAATGCCAGAGGGTCACTCAGTCAAAAGGGATCAGATGGCTCTCAAACGCCCAGTGGAGCAGAAACAGCCTGGCATTGTTTTCACCTCCCGCTGCTCCTCTTGCCCAGGCACTGGCCCCTCAGTGGACGGACCTGCAGATTCTCCAGGGAGCGCCCAGCCAGGGCCAAGCTGAGCTCCTGGCTTGGTGATTACGGCTCTGTGACCACATTCACAGGACCAGCATCACTCTCCAGGACACAGAGCTGCTGTGCCAAGGGCTGCGCACATAGGCCGCTGCCAGCAAAAGCCACGTGCTTCCAGGCTGAGCCGGCCCTCGCTGCAGGCCACAGCCCTCTTCTCAAACTTGGGTCCTCAAACTTGATGTCTCTTCTCTCCTTCATCACTGCCTATTTTTAGGATTTTTCATGTATGCAAATATGTCTGCCTCCTCCCCAACTGTATTAGTCTGCTAGGGCCATCCTAATAAAGTGGCACAGGCTGGGTGCCCTAAATGACAGAAATTTATTTTCTCACAATTCTGGAGGCTACAAGTCCGAGATCAAGGTGTCGGCAGGATTGGTTGCTCTGAGGCCTCTCTCCTTGGCTTCTCCCCGTGTCTTCATGTGGCCCTATCTCCAAATACAGTAACATTCTGGGTACTGGGCTTGGGACTTCAACATTTGAAATTTGAGGGGACACAATTCAGCCCATAATACCCACAACTGACTCTACATACTTAGAATATAAGTTAACTTTTTTAACTCGAGAGAGAGAGATTGGTGTATACCAGGGACGTTCTTCCCAGACAAAGGGCACCTGGTGCTCACCGTAGTAAGGCAACTACTTGAGGTGCTCTTCTGACATTTACGGTGCACCCTCCTAACCTCAGAAGCTCACTGCACAACACTGACCCCAGAGCTGCTCTGGGACACATGGCAGTTGGGGTCCAGACGCTCCTTCACTCTCTCCTCACGGAATCACCTCTGACGAGCACCGCGTGGAAACCTTCGGCCCAGAGGATTCCAGGTGTCCAGGCTCCCCCTGTTACTTTTTCAGAACTACACAATTCGCCAAGGTTTGAAATGGGTGCGTTTGATGCCGTGTGACGATCTTCAGCTTCGGAAACACAACTCTGTCACTAGCATTTAGCCCAGTTTCACCGCAGTCTGGATGGGTTCCTGTGACGGTGCAGACACCCTGGCGCTTGCGTGGGCTGCTTTATTTTTCCACTTTGCTTCTTTTTGGAGATGGGCTTGCTAATCACCCTGCTCAGCTGTGATACCCAAGAAAAGCTGAGCTGGGAAAGTTAGCTGCAGCCTCCCTGTGACCTGTTTGCACATACCAGGCCAATAAAACCCGGGCCGAGTGACAGTGACAGCTGCCTGGTGGCATTCAGAGGGAATCGAGCGCTTCAGTTCTGCAGCCTCAGGGACAGTATATCATTACAGCCCGGCTGCGCGGAGAGAAACCACCTCAACGCCCGCTCCGGGCAGGCCTGGCCCTCCCACCGCGGCGGGGCGTCTGGGACGTCTGCAAGGGCTGACCGACCGCCCTGGGAGCTGCCTCCGCGCTGGACCGCCGGCCCCAGTTCTGTTCTCGCCTCCACACACGCTCCCTGCCTGCGGCAGCCCGGCTTCTAGCAGCTGGGTTAGGGCACGACCCCAACCTTCGGGCGACGGAGGAGAGAGGGTGGAAAGGAAGGTAAATGGGGGCGCGGCAGTCGAGTGCCCGCTCCCAGGACAAGGGCCCCAAGGGGATGGTGCTGCTGGGCGGGAGGCAGAAATTGTCGCCATGGGACGACGCCCTGCTCTCAGGAAAGGACCCGCGGTCTCTGCTGCAGCGGGGCATGCGCCACGTCAGCTTCAGCCTGGTCACCAAGGGAATGACGGACGTCCCCGACTTTCTGTGGGGCTTGTCTGAGGTCCAGAAACTCAACCTGTCTCACAACCAGCTCAGGCTTCTCCCGCCCGACGTGGGGAAGCTGACTCGGCTCGTGGTCCTGAACTTGTGCGGGAACCGCCTCAAGAGTCTGCCCCGAGAAATCAGCCTCCTCAAGAGCCTGAAGGTGCTGTTTGTCAACATGAACTGCCTGACCGAGGTGCCGGCCGAGCTGAGCGCCTGCCAAAGCCTGGAAGTCCTGAGCTTGTCGCACAACCGCCTGTCGCAGCTGCCCGCCAGCCTCGCCGGCCTCCCCAGGCTGCGGAAGCTGAACCTCAGCAACAACGCCTTTGCTCACATCCCCATCTGTGTGTTTGCGCTGAAGGAGCTGGATTTCTTGCACGTGGGCTCCAATCGCCTGGAAAACATCGCTGAAAGCATCCAGTGCCTGGTCAGCCTGCAGATCTTCATCGCAGAGAGAAACAACATCCACTCCTTCCCGCGGTCGCTCTGCCTACTCACAAGCCTGGAGCTGCTGAACTTGAACAACAATGACATCCAGACCCTCCCAGATGAACTCTACCTGCTGTGCAGACTGGCCAGGATTGCTTGGAACCCCATGGACAAAGGGCTCCACATTTCCCATAACCCTCTCTCCAAGCCTTTGCCGGAGCTGGTGGAGGGGGGCCTGGAGATGCTCTTCAGCTACCTGAAGGATAAAAAACACACCTGACGTGGGCCCCGGAGGCACGGACAGTAGCCAGCACATCGGGACTCTGTCACCCGGGTACTTCTCTAGTCTGAACTTGCTCTTCTTACTGTCTGCGTAGGTCAATGCTTGTGTTACCATTTGCTAAATCGTATCGCACACCTGTTGTAGGGAGGTGTTTGCTTCCCAAATAGGGAAGGTTCCTAATAACCCCCAAAATATTATGTTCATCTCATTTTTGTGTAGCATAGACAAGCCACACAAAAAAAGTAATTAGCCTTTTCCCATTCAGAGGAGGGTAATATTTGCGACTTGGCTTTCACATACAGACATTCCAAAAATGAGTTTAGTGACATTTAAAAGCTCTTGGGACAAAAGGATCTTTAAAAATATTGTTTGTTTTGTTTTTAATTTTAAAAGTACGCAGCTGTTAGTTAAACACAAACATCAGGACAAGCAATTACAGAATTCCTGACACAAAGGTCATTGTATCTTACTGCTGTCACAGCAGCCAAGAGTCTCTAAGATGTTACTATTTACGTAGAGTTAAAGACTTAGGATGAAAAGGTGGCAATAAAGAAAGTACAGTACCTTCAGATAATGGAGAGCCAAGTGCTCAGGTTTCTGGGCACCTTTCTCTACAGAACATAGCAAACAATATCAAGACTTAGGATTTAGAGTTGCTGCCAAGACTTGTCTAACTTCTTAACACCTTAAGTTTAATTCAGTTAAACATATTTATTAGCACCTTCTCTAGCCTGGACACTGGGCTGGGACCTGGAGAGGAATAATGCCCAGCTCCTTCCACCAAGGAGCTCACACTTTGGTGAAAGAGACAGACCCATGTGGGTTTCTATAATATGTGGCAAGTGTGATCCCTGCTAAAGAGAATCATAAGCAAAGGGCTAAAGCATGGATGACACACTGGATGGGGTAGACTAGGCTGAGCCCCAAAATCTCAGTAACCAAAGAACGGTAACCGAAGAACATGGTGGGATGAATTAGCCAAACCCTCCATTTGCTACAGGCATCTCACCCTAATTCCTCCCCTCCTCCCTTCATGCCATTTGGGAAAGAGTAGCAAAGTGCTGGGGCAGTCGGTAACTCATTCTCAGGTTCTGAGCTTAGGCAATTTTAGTGTGGAGCTGCCATCTTCCTTCTTCCAAGAGCTGCTCAAAGGGGGTCCATATAACTTATTCATAGGGACAAGTGATTTTCCCAACAGACCCCAAAGTCAATTTTCCCATCCATAAAAGAGGGAAACAATTCCTGCTGTTATCATCAGATACCATAGTTCCATTAGCACATTTGTGCATGAGCTCTTCTGTTGAATCATTGCAAACAGATCTTACCAGCGTCACTGGGAGGTACCTGAAGAAGTCCCCTCTAAATTCCCTCTCTAGCAGCAACCCGAGAGCCGCATATCCCTGCCAGGCACACACAGGCACACTCCAGTAGCATCACCCACATTAGCTTGTTGGAGCCAAGACTATTTAAAGACATCGGTGGGATTCTCACTTGACCTCATGACTCAGTGGGAAATCGTAGGACGGGCCTTCCTCTGCAGAGCAGAACCAGGCAGATCGCTCCTGGGAGCTTTGGCCAGAACACATGCAGCTGTCGGACAAACACCGGCGTGTGCCAGGATCACGCCTGTTGGTGTCTGCTGCTGACAACCACTGGGGCTCACACAGTTTCCATGACCTTGCTGTGGGCAGAGACAGCAGCACCATGCTTTTCCTGCTGCGCCATCATTTTACTTCCTCTCCTCGCTTTTTCAGTCACCTGATCCCACAGTAACTCTACTCCAGGGAAAGAACAGAACCATATTTTGAAGGTGACCCAAGAGCTTATTATTCTTATAAGAAAAAAGTGGTATCATTTGGTTTCCAGCGTCCATTGGAGCCTTTCAAAAGTAAAGTAGCAAGGTTTCCTTTGTTAACACTCAGCATCAAGGAAATCACAAAAAGTACTAGGAGTTGCCCGATGGGCTTTAGATATTGATTCTTTGTGAATGCTCTTTTATTGATAAAGGGAAGTGTTGTGCAGGAAACTGGTTAATGTGCTTCGTTATTCAAAACACTCATGTAGCAGTGATTTGATACAACCTTCAGTGTCAGATTCTACAGTCTGCTGACTGACTGTGAAATGCTGCTGGCTTCTCTTTTGTAGTTCTGATACTGCCACATTCAAGTAACTCCCAGATATTTCTAAGGCGTCTGAAATCGAAACACTGAGGATGACTGCACTGACTGTGGAGTATATTTAGCCAAAGAATACGAGCTAACTGGGTGCTTGATGTGGGGAGCCGGCTGCTCACATTCTTGATGACATTGTGGTTTTCATGTCACTTGGCTCTCAGTAGGAAGCAATCTCAGTGGTGTGTTCAGAAGCACCTTTTGAAGCAGTTGCAGCTTAAAACCATACAATTAGGAAGAAATCCTGTGTTCATAGGAAAGGAAGACATCTTTGAAAAGACACATCTGTTCAATGAATAATACTGCTAAATGCATAAAACTCCTGGATAATAGAAAGAAAAATGTCATCATTCCTTCACTTGTTGAGTTAATAAATGGTTAATAGAACTGTACTCCATTCTCAGGCTTAACTAATAGACTGCCTTTCTGCAGTAACCAAAGACAGAGCGACTGCAGGACTGTGCACCCATGCTGCACACTGAAGTCGTGCTGGCACTGGAGAGAGAAAAAGAGAGGACGCTGTCATTATTGCAGGGATCCGGTAAACTGAACGCTTTCCTTTCGGTCATGTCTTAGTGCATTTTAAAATTCCATTTCATATGCCTCAAAGCACATACTGAATATGCATTTTGATAGCTATGCATGAACAACAGAGGAAGACTGAAGCACTGTGGGCTTGGTCACGGGAAGGCACATGCAAGTGTCAACAGCCTGAGAGTAAGGGGCGAGTGAGGCCTGCAGGCTGGGCGTCAGTGCCTCTTCTCAGTAATACCCACAGGCTAGGGAGAGTCTCTGTCTGGACAGAGTTCCTGAGGCTTTGTTACAAATGGTGAAAAATACAAGATGAGTTCAGGAAATGGTCATAAAAAAACAAAAAAGCAAAAATTCAAGCTGCTAGATTTAGCTAATATGAAGGTACTGCTCAAGTTCCATGGACATCTTCTTAGGTATCCATGTCTGCTCTTTTTACTCCATCAAAGGATTATTTTCGGCGCTGTATAAGATATACTTGAGCAACACCACTTCCCAGCCTAGATTCAATGCGCAACTAAGTACCAGCACCCTGGATGTATTCATCCAAGAACACCAAAACACAACATCTTCATATCTTTTTTAAAAAATGAAATAAAATTCAGAGGAACATGAATGCTATTATAAACAATAATGGGAACAATCTTGATCTTGTTGACAAAAGAACTTTTTATGAGTATTCCTCTTAAGTTACCTGTCCAGTTGAACCCAAAGCATTACTAATTAAAAATAAAAAAGGACAGCACAGTAATAAAAGGGCGGCAGAGAAGACTAGTCGTGCGTTTGTGAGCGTCATTAGGCAAGCATTACTGAAAGCCATTAGCGTGCAGCTTGCTATGCAGATTTTTTTAGTAGTGTTAAGGAATCTGCTTGCAAGGAGAGAGCTTATTTCTTACTGCTTCTAGACTTACTCCTTATTTCAGCACAGGACAGAAAATAAAAGGTGAACTGAAGTCTATTCTCAAAATGTCAAAGTATTTCCTGATGGTCTTGAGAGAAACATACATTATGAAAACTACCAGACTATTGGCCTTATGGCATGGGCTACAGCTGCTGATGGAACACCACATAATCACCCATATTCTTTGGTCTTGAGTGACTTGAGTTCCCCAGAAGTCAGTGTGCCAGGACACGCCACTTGGGGAAATCTGTGTTCTGTCTCCTGAATGTCATGCCCGTCACCCTGTGCATGCATTTGAGAAGAGGCCCTGTGGCGTGGTGGGAAAAGGTCTTGCCTGAGAGCTGCATATATTGATTGCATAGCACTTACTGAGCATCTGTGACTCCTGAGGCTACAGGTGTTAGGGACGGGACGAGGGACAAGCTCCCTGCCCTCCAAGAGCTCTCAAGTCCATGGGCAAAGAAGATGAGGCTCAGCTAAACATGACGCAACCCTGTGAGAACAGTGGCCTTAATAGATGCGTAAACTGGTACAAAGCCCTGGGAGTGGGATTGCAGGAGGCACAGAGGAGTGGCATGACTGAAACGGTGTGGGTACACACAATCTAACGTGACAGTTATCGACCCAACCGTTCCTTTGTTTTGCTTTATCTCGATGGAAAATTTGTGAATCTCACTGTCCCAGAGTGGTCTGCTTTATAACAACTTTGTGGCATTTTTTTTTTCCTACTTGAATCTAAGATTTGGGTAGGCACATGGGGGGAGAGAGGGCACATTACAGTGATGGTGGCACCATATGTCATGGGTTCGAGAGATACTCCCAAGCCTCTCCCTACCGCATTTTGGGCGAAGGTCTTTCCTGAGGGTTCTGAAAGGACCGTGGGTTGGCAGTGGTCCTCAACACTGGCTGCTCCTCAGAATCCCCTGTGGAACTTCAAAAAAAGAAAGCCTTGAACCTCCATTTGAGAGATTCTGATATAGTTGGTCTGAGTGAGGCCTGGGCTTCTTTTGTTTTTTCTTTTTTTTGTGTGTGGGAAAGACCAGCCGTGAGCTAACATCCAATGCCAGTCCTCCTCTTTTTGCCGAGGAAAACTGGCCCTGGGCTAACATCCATGCCCATCTTCCTCTACTTTATATGGGACGCCGCCACAGCATGGCTTGACAAGCGGTGCATTGGTGCACGCCCGGGATCCGAACCTGCAAACCCCAGGCCGCCGCAGCAGAGCGCGCGCACTCAACTGCTGTGCCACCGGGCCGGCCCCTGTTTTTTCTTTTTAAGCTCAGTACGTAATTCTGTCACTGACTCTGAGCTGAGAAATGCTGATGTAGGCTCTTCCCTAAACAGTCAGATGTGGGACTAAGCCAGTGGGGCCTGGAGACTACCAACTGAAAGACAGCAGTAAAAGGTGGGAGATCGCTGAACCTGGCCGGCAGGTGGAAGCCCTAATGGGGCCTCATGATTAAATTCATCTGGGCACTTGTTAAAAATTTAGAATCCCAGGTTCTTGTGGAATATTTTCAGATTCAGGAGGTCTAGGGCAGGGGCTGGTGTGTGTAGGTCCGACCAGTACTCCAGGTGTTTCCTATTATAAGGCTGACGA